ACCCTTTTGAAACTCTTTAAAAATACTTCTGTAGTAAAATACTTAGTTTCAGATTAATATTTCAAAATGAGAAATTTGGTGCTAAATATATTTAACCGTGTCAATGAGAGTGTTAAGTAGTCTTGTTACGTTCATTTAAATTATCTGAACTTGAGGAAAGCCAAGAAGCAACAAACTTTTCAGACATTTCCGAAGAGTTGCCTTTATGTAGATTTTTTATAAATTCAGTTGAGCTAGATAATATAGTCAAGTTAGTGCATTTGCTAGAACTGAGCCAATTATGTTGATTAGAACTTCAAAATTTAGTAGTGTACTGTGTAGACATGCTGAAGAGTTGTATGAAAACATATGTAAATCTGTCATAATAGAGAAAAACATGAAGGCATTCTGAAAGAGACAACGTTTGGGTTTTACTGTGTCACAGAAAAGCAAGAAGTTAAAGTTGAAAATATTTTAAGCATTTTTAAAACATTTTAGTTATGATTATTCATGTATATATTGTAAGTAGGCCAGTCTGCCTTTCTAAAGGCCTTTTTATGAGTACTCCTTATATAAAGCAAAACCATCAGTTCCTGTCGCATGACAATGATTTGTAGTTCTTAAAAGATTCTCACTTTATGGGATACATTAAAATGACATGCTGATCCTAAACCTTTTCAAAGGATCATAATATAATTAAAGCTGGAAGGAACCTCTAGAGAACCATCTAGGCCAGCACCCTTGCTCAGAGCAGGGTTGACTAGAGTGAGTGAGTTGGGGAATCGTCTAACTGGGTTTTGAGCATCTCTGAGAATGGTGAGTCCACAGCCTACTTGGGCAACTTGTTCAGCTAGTCTTGCGGTGAATACATGTTTTCTTAAGTTCAAGTGGAAATTCACATGTTTCAGTTCATGCCTGTTGCCTCTTTCCTGGGCACTGTTGGGAAGAATCTGATCCCATTTCTTTATACTCTTCCCTCAGATATTTAACCATACTGATAAAACACTATTACCTCACGAGAGCCTTCTGTTCTCTGGGCTAAGCAGTCTGAGCTCTCTTAACATCTCCTCCTCACATGAGAATTGATGCAGTCTCTTACTCGTTCTTATGGCCTTGTTGCTGGGCTCAGTCCAGTATATCCATGCCTCTTGAACTGAACGTAGCACTCCACATATGTCTTGCTAGTACTGAGCAGAGAGGAGAGATCGTGTCCTCAACCTGCTCACAGTGTTCCATGTGGCCCTGGGTGCTGCTGGCCACCTTTGCTGCAAGGGCCTGTTGTGAGCGCATGTGCAACTTGTCGCTCAGGAGCCCAGGTCCTGTACTGCATAATGGTGTGTGGGGCGATTCCTCCCCAGATTTCACTTGCATCTTTGGCTACGTCTTTGCCAGGAACGTATAGCAGTACATCAGCTCCATTATGCAGTTACAATAGTTTATTGTGGAGCAGATTCATCTTTCCGCTCATCTTCTCTTGTGCTCTGTTAGTGAAAAGCCAGAGATTGTGTGGTGGTAAGCAGAATTATCTGATTATCCGAAGCTGAACCAAGCAAAGGTGCTGTCTGTCCATCGTGAGGCTATCGTGGTAGGCCTACTAACTGTTTAGATGTATTGGGCAAAACAGCATATAAAGAAAAGCATGTGCCTAGTATCATGGTGTAATAAGAATGTGTTTGTAGAAGAGCATGGACTTGCATAGTATTTGTGATGTGCAGTGAGCTTGGGAGAAGAGTTAAATATCCTCAGACAGGAAAAAGTGCAATGCTTTAATTTCTTGGATCATTCAGGGTTTTGTTCACTGCATGTCTTGTCTAGTGCTGCTTCCTTTTCCTGAGCAGTGGCAGTATGGAGAGAAGTTATTAGCTGCTGTTTCCATAGTTAGACTCGCATCCTACGTACATCCTGCACTAATAGTGCAAGTCATATATAATGACAAAGGGCTTCAAGGAATCTGCATCCTGCAGATTCAAGTGTTTAAACGAGCTATATTATGCAGCAGTTCAGCTACTTCATGTGTATTTTGCTAAATTTCAGTGGAAAATAATGTCCTGAGTTTGTTAATATCAGTAGGAGAATTAGTAAACTCAGAATTGTAACAACTCTGACATTGTTCATATTGGTTTAAATACAACTATCTGTGCTTACTGTTACAACTTCAGTAAAATTTTCTTGCCCTAATTGAATGACAAACAATTACCTCTTGTGCTGACTTGCAGTTTGTCTTGTACACAGATGTACTGAGTCTTTTTGCCCTGTTTGCTTGAGGTATCTAAGGATACAATTTCTTCAGAAGATGGGGAATGTAAAGATTACCTTTTGTATCAGCACTTAATAAATAACAAGACAATTTAGTTTCCTTTTTTTTTTAAGAGTTGATTATAATACAGTCCAGAAACTGCTGAGAACTGGTTAAATGGTTGTATTGGTAGAATGATATATAGGCTTTGATCCATTTACAAGAACACTTCTTAGAATTGTTGCTTTCATCCCAGAACAAAAAAGAGTATTGGCTATTTTTAAGTAGCCAGGCTTTGAAACAATTGACACATTTTTTTACTTTGTAACTTGAACACTGAAATTTTCAAAAAAAATCATTATCACCTAATCTACTGTGGAGAAAAGCTGAGGGGCTGCAGTGTTACTTGTCTGTCAGTATGTCAGTCATCTGCTGTTTGTCACAATCATTTGATTTGGGCAGACCACATAGATTCTCTGGTTTTATACTGCATTATTAACACCTCTGTAGAGCACTGTGGTATGACTAATACAGATCTGAAGCTCATACCAAATAAAAGATATAAACAAAGAAAACTATACTAGAAAAGATCAGTGGTAAAAGTTTTATAATCTAGTTTGTCAGAAAGACTTTCAGAGGGTATCTGACATGAATGAGCTGTGTAGTCTTACTTTTGGCTAGGTCACTGCATCACTTTTCTGTCTGTGTGTAGTTACGATAATATTTGCAGTGTGCAGGTATGAGGGCTATTGATGGTAGAGAAACTCTAAACAAATTTGAGTGATGCAGGTTGGTAATTTTTCAGTTAAAGCATTATGAGGCTTTTCAATATTTGCTGATTATTACTGAGAATCTGCTGTCCTATTCAAAGTACAAAAAGCACAGTATAAGGTGGCTTGACTACAGTACTGAGAAGAGATTTCATGTTTGTCTTAAAGCTGTGCCAGTGATAAGGTTTTACAATTTTGGTCAAAGGCCTATTTTATATTGGTGTATTGAGAAAGCTTTAATTTCCTAATGGTTGATATTCATATCAATTCATGTATGTCAAACTATGGAATCTTCTATGTTGGAGGGGGGGGAAAAAAAAGTCAGGAATGCTTTTTGCTTTATCTGCTGTTTATTGTATATCTGCTATTCAGGACAGTTGACAGTTGATTGTATCTCTCTATTCAGGAATAGAGAGTTCTAGAGTTCTAAATTCAAGATAGCAAATCATAAAATTTGAGGTTTTTTATTTAACTCTTAAAATCACTTAATTCCTTTTTTAAAAAGAAGTTTGTCAGGATTAGTCAATTGAGAACTAAATTTTCAAGGTATTCTGGCAAAATTGACTTGAGTCTTTCTGAAGAGATTTTCTTTCCGGTTCAAGGATTTTTTTTTCTTTTTTTTTTTTCTTTTTCCCTCCTTCCCAGTCCCTGCTCCCCACCCTTATCTCTGTTCATGTGTTCATGTGGTGATGGAAGAACCTACAGTAAACCAATATGTATGGTGGTACATACACAAAAGTGTTTCAGTGAATGGTTTTGTTAAAGTTGCAGTCTAAAAAGAGGCAGAGAAGGTCACTAGCTCAAGCATTGGTGGGCATTCCAGGTGTTTGGGACCGTTTTGGAAAAAGAAACAAGAAGATATAAACAGGAGGAAGATCTGATGAAGATCAACTAAAGATGTTTAAAAAGACTCACAGTAAGTCTTTTTAAGAAGAAAAGAGAGAAACAAAAGTAGGAGTTGTAAAAGCAAACCTAGGAAACACTCAGGATGATGTGCAAGTTCAAAAGTGCGGACAAGGATCTTGAAGTTTTGTGTGAGAAAATAGGAGTAAATAAAAGTTAGAAGAGAAGAGGAATACAGTCATACTTTCCCAAGTAGAAGATGATCGTGGCCATATTTGATAGGATGTGGAAAAGGTTTCTACTGAAATGTCTGTTGTCTGCATGCACTAAACTTCCTTGAATTTTGAAGTTGTTTCCTTACTGTTCCTAGTGAAAATAATTGTGAGTGAAAACTTCAATTTCAGGCTAGCAGCACAGCTTGGAATAACTCAATCTGTAAAGAAAATAACATTCCTGAAGTTTAATTTGTATAAATCTTCTCCAGGATTTGGATACGGAAGAGCAGAAGTCTGCTAACAGTCTGAACTGCGCTACCACTATGGAGCAAGTACATTCTACTGAAGAAGAAGAATCTCTAAACACGAGAAAGAAAACTAAAACGGATGTGGACATACGAAACAGTATAACAGCCAAAGAATCACTGTCTTCAGACAGTATAAATTTGCATTCAAGGAAAAGTACGCCAGATACTGGAACATGTACAGATGACAGTAAAACCATAGACACAGAAAGTGAGCCAGAAGAAGGTGAAATCATGGATTCTGAGTACGAAGAGTATAGCAGTGAGGAGGAAGTGACAAGTGAAGAAACTGCTGATTCAGAAGTCTCAGAAAATGAAGGTGAATTATTGTGGTTTTTATGTAGAGTATTATTTTTTTCCAGGAGTCCATTAACAAGAAAATAATTTGGATCCTTAAAATAAATGCCCAACTTAATATGTTGGCTTAAACGCTGCTGTGTGTGTGTGTGTGTGGATATATATATGCATATATATGTATATAATTAATGTTTGCTTTCATTCTCTCCCCCTTTCACTGTAGTCAGAACAAAGCAGGA